TTGGAGGTTGCTGTGAGCTGTAATGCCACGGCACTCTACCCAGGGGGACAACTTGAGGCTCTGTCTCAAAAAAAAATAAATAAATAAATAAAAATAAAGTAGATGATTAATTAAGTTCTTCAAAGATCTACTGAATAGGGAGTTCGTATTTAGTTCATATTAAGTTCTTCTTATTTTCTCTTTCTATTCCTCCCCTTTCTCTAGTAGTCCAAAGACTTCATTTATTTATTTATGGAGATGAGGTCTCTCTCTGTTGCAATGGCTAGGGTACAGCAGCAAGTATCATCAGCGCTCAGTGGAACCTGTAACTCCCAGGCTCAAATGACCCTCCTGTCTCTGCTTCTCCAGGAGCTGAGACTATAGGTATGCATCACCATGCTTAACTAATTTGTTGTTGTTATCTTTCTGTATGTCAAGAGGGAGGGAGGGAGGGAGGAAGGGAGGAAGGGAGGGAGGGAGGAAGGGAGGAAGGAAGGGAGGGGAAGGCAGGCACGCAGCCAGGTAGGGTGGATTGCCCTGAGCTCACACGTTTGAGACTGAGCAAGAGAGAGACCTCGTCTCTAAAAAACCTAGCCAGGCATTGTGGTGGGGGCCTGTAGTCCCAGTCACTCGGGAGGCTGAGGCAAGAGAATCACTTGAGCACAAGAGTTTGAGGTTGCTGTGAGATATGACATCAGAGGACTCTACTGAGGGCAACAAAGTGAGAATATGAAAAAAAGAAAGTGAGAAAAAGAGAAAGAAAGCCAGGCAAAGCTCACAGCAACCTCAAACTCTTGGGCTCAAGTGACCCTCTTGCCTCAGCTTCCTGAGTAGGTGGGATGACAGGCGCCCTCCGCAAAACCTGGCTACTTTCTTTTTTTTTTTTTTGAGACAGAGCCTCAAGTGGTCCCCCTGGGTAGAGTGCTGTGGCATCACAGCTCACAGCAACCTCCAACTCCTGGGCTCAAGCAAGTCTCCTGCCTCTGCCTCCCAAGTAACTGGGACCACAGGCGCCATCCACAATGCCTGGCTATTTTTTGGTTGCAGCCATCATTGTTGTTTGGTGGGCCGGGGCTGGATTCAAACCCGCCACCTTAGGTGTATGTGGCTGCCACCTTAGCTACTTAAGCCGCAGGCGCCGAACCAACCCGGCTACTTTTGAGAGACAGGGTCTCGCTCTTGCTCAGGCTGGTCTCAAACCCTGAGCTCAAGCAATCCACCTGCCTCAGTTTCCCAGAGTGCTAGATTATAGGTGTGAATCACTGCCAGTGTGTCTGGCCAGTTTTTTGTTTTTAAAGAATGACAATTGAGGGCGGTGCCTATGGCTCAGTGAGTAAGGTGCCGGCTCCATATACCGAAGGTGGCAGGTTTGAACCCAGGCCTGGCCAAATTGCAACAATAAAAAAATAGCCGGGCGTTGTGGTGGGTGGCTACTTGGAAGGCTGAGGCAAGAGAATTGCTAAAGCCCAGCAGCTGGAGGTTGCTATGAGCTATGACGTCACAGCACTCTACCAACGGCGATAAAGTTAGACTCTGTCTCTTAAAAAAAAAAAAAAAAAGAATGATAATATTTTGTCACCTCTCAAAAAATAATATATGATGCCAGGTGCAGTGGCTCATGCCTGTAATCCTAGCACTCTGGGAGGCCAAGCCGGGTAGATTGCCCTGAGTTCACAGGTTCAAGACCTGCCTGAGCAAGAGCAAGACCTCATCTCTAAAAATAGCTGGGACTACTTGGGAGGTTGAGGCAAGACAATCACTTGAACTCAAGAGTTAGAGGTTGCTGTGAGCTATGACACCACAGCACTCTATGGAAGATGACAGTGTAAGACTCTGTCTTAAAAAATTGTTTTAAAAAATATATGATCCTAATAAATAAAATCAAACATTTTTGATGAAGATAAATGAAAAGTAAAGGTTCTTCTCTTGCTTTCCTTCCAAATATATCCTCAAAACTCTCCCAGACTCCCCTAGCTTTGAAAGGCTCTTGCTTCTTTGAATCCCTTGGGGACTTGAGCCTGTATACACATTTTTTTTTTTTTTTTGGCATTTTTTTGGCCGGGGCTGGGTTTGAATCCGCCACCTCTAGCATATGGGGCCGGCGCTCTACTCCTTTGAGCCACAAGCACCGTCCCACAACATTTTTAATTATATGCCACATGTTTTCTTCCCAGTAAGACCAGAAACTCCTTAAGATTTGTGTTTTACTTCTGTGTACTTTGAATGCCAAAATATAGGCACATTAGAAATGAAACATTTAGCTTTCTGAAACTTCTGAAATAAGAAACAGCAATATTATTTAGATGTAAATCTTGTTTTCACTTAATATGTACTGTGGACATTGGTCAGTTTTGCCAGTCTAGCATCCATTTATCTCCTCTGATCTACCTACCCAGCTCATCACAGGTCACCCATTCAATTGTACAAGGAGGACAACGAAATGACAAATAATCAGAGCTTCACCATCCTATTCCATAGTTCAGGGTGGGGCATATAATCCAATTTAGATCAAAGAAGTACAATCAAATTGAAGCTGAGATAATAAGAAAGACTCTTGGCTCAGTGCCTGTAGCTCAAGCAGCTAAGGCACCACATACGCCAGAGCTGGAGGGTTCGAATCCAGCCCAGGCCTGCCAAACAACAATGGCAACTACAACCAAAATAATAATAATAATAATATATATACACACACACATACATATATATAGCTGGGCATTGTGGTAGGTGCCTGTAGTCCTAGCTACTTGGGAGGCTGAGGCAAGAGAATCGCTTAAGCCCAGGAGTTGGATGTTGCTGTGAGCTGTGATACCATAGCACTCTACCCAGGGTGACAGCTTGAGGCTCTATCTCAAAACAAAACAAAACAAAACAAAAACCTAGATATTGCAGCTATCTAGGGACCAAAGAAAAGAGCTTATCCAACAATGGAGCTAACAACCAAAAGACCAAGCCTGAGAGAGAGGAGAGAAAGAGAGAAATGGGACCCTGTGCCATCATTTAGCGGTTCTCTTAAATATTATCATCCATTCTTTTTTTATTAATAGAGACAAGATCTCCTCTTCTTTAGGCTGGTCTCAAACTCCTGCCCTAAAGCTATCTTCCTGTCACTACCTCCCAAAGCACTAAGGATTATGGGCAAGCCACCAGCCTGGCCATTGTCTCATCCTTTTTTTTTTTTTTGAAGTTTTTGGCCGGGGCTGGGTTTGAACCCACTACCTCCCGCATATGGGGCCAGCACCCTACTCCTTTGAGCCACAGGCACCTCCCCCCTCCTTTTTTTGAGACAGAGTCTCACTGTTGCTCAGGCTAGAGTGCCCTGGTGTCTGGCTAGCTCACTCCAACCTCCAACTCCTGGGCTCTAGTGATCCTTCTGCCTCAGCTTCCCCAGCATGTGGGACTACAGGAGCCTGCCACCATGTTTGGCTAATTTTTTTATTTTTTGTATAGACAAGGTCTCATTCATGTTCAGACTGGTCTGGAACTCCTGAGTTCAAGGGATCCTCCCACCTCATTGGGCCTGACCTCTATCACCCCATTCTTCATCTCAGAAGTGTCTGACTTCAAAGCCTTCTTCCTCCACCAAGCTTACTACTCTGACTCTCTAAATCTTTGTCCTACACTCAAGGAACTCTTCCCATCAGGCCTGAGAGGAGAGAAAGAAGGAAAGCTCTTTGAATAAAAATAGAAACAAACAAATCTTTATGTTAGCAAACTGTGAGCTATACATTATAGACATGCAAAAGGTAATAGTATGAAATGCTGAATGAAAAAGCGGCAGATTTTTTTGGGTGTGCAGGTTGGCAGAAGAAAGGCTTTATAAGAAAGAGGTATCTGCAATAACGCTTGCATTATCTTTCCACTGTAAATCTCTTGTGCCATGCTACTCATTAAGCACAATGACCATTTTCCAGTTTTTTTTTCCAGTTTTTGGCCAGGGCTGGGTTTGAACCCGCCACCTCTGGCATATGGGGCTGGCACCTTACTCACTGAGCCACAGGCACCACCATTTTCCAGTTCTTAAAAACTAAGTTCTTCCAGGTCTCAAAGCATTTATGCCACTGTCTGGAGGCTGGCTCCCCAGATCCTCTCTGATTGGCTCCTTTCTCATCCTTTCAATCTCTGTTCAAATGCCACCTCTTCAGATGCCTTTCCATCTTTCTTTCTTTCCATCACAACAGCTTATTTCCTTCAAAGCCTTATAACTAGCTGTATTTACTTTACTTGTTTAGTTTATTACCTATTTCCACCATTAGAATGTAAACTCCCTTAAAACAGAGATTTTTTTATGGGGCGGCGCCTGTGGCTCAAAGGAGTAGGGCGCCGGCCCCATATACGGAGGTGGCCGGTTCAAACCCAGCCCCGGCCAAAAACTGCAAAGAAAAAGAGAGAGAGAGAGATTTTATATTGAACATGTTTTTCTTTATACCCAAATTCCAGCTCAGAGCAGTCGGTACTAAATTAATATCTAATGAAGGAGAGAACGAGTAGCAAAAAGTGAGACGTAGCTTAAGAGAGTAGGCAGGCTGCTCCTACGAAAGCTGCTTTAAAGGAAACAGAAAAAGCCAGCTGGAATGGAAGCTGGCTAGGGAACTGAGGGTTTACGTCGGCGGGAATGAAGGTGTCAGAGCACAGCTTCGGGCTACCTCTGGCCAAGCGCGGGGTAAGACGAACGGCATAAACCACTGAGTGACCAACTCCTGGGCGTTTTCTTAGGGAAAGCCAAACGCTACCGTTTTTTCAGACCGGTCTCTGTCTCATCCCGCGGACCCTCCGCGACCGTCTTTCGCAAAAACGCTAACCTATGGATCACCAAACTTATCTCTCGGGCCCCATCCCGTCAGGAACTGACAGCGTGTTTGAGAAACGGCCATCTTTCGCCAGTCTCCATAGGGGACCGACACCAGCCTGCTGACGCGCGTCTCCCCGCCCCCAGCCTGTCCCGGGCCCCTGTCGGACCCTCACTTACGCTTGTCTCCGGGCTATGAGCCGATGCATGGGAGTCGCCATGTTTGCGCGGCCGAGACCAGCCGCTTTGGGTTTTGGGAAACTCCTCGAAGGAGGCGGGGACTTCGAACCCAGTCAGCCGCAGACGTGGGCGGGGCCAGACAGGCCTCAAGGGCTTCTGGGACAGTGTCCACCGCAGCCTATTAATGGGAGTAGCGGTCGGAGGGCTGGGATGTGTCGTCGCTGGTGCAGGGGTTGAGTTAATTGGCCAGAACAGGGTTTGAAGGATGATAGAACATTCTCGGATGAGGGATGTACACACAGGCATAGAAGACCGAAACTGTGCGGTGTTCAGAAAACTTGAAGTACTCTGGAGAATGAAATTAAAATGAGTTGGGCGGCACCTGTGGCTCAAAGGAGTGGGGCGCCGGTCTACATACCGGAGGTGGCGGGTTCAAACCCAGCCCTGGCCAAAAACTGCAAAAATAAATAAATAAAAGTTTTTAAAAAAGAAAGAAAAGAAATTGAAATGAGTTGACCAAATTGAGACATTATTTAAAAGAATGAGTTTAGCAGGCCAGGCGTGGTGGCTCATGCCTGCAATCCTAGCACTCTGGGAGGCTGAGGCAGATGGATTGCCTGAGCTCAGTGGGTTGGAGACCAGCCTGAGCCAGAGCCAGAGAAAGACCGCGTCTCTTAAAAATACCCTGGCGTTGTTGTGGGCGCCTGTAGTTTCAGCTACTTGGGAGGCTGAGGCAAGAGAATCACTTGAGTCCAAGAGTTTGAGGTTGTGAGCTGTGATAACACAGCACTCTATCAAGGCGACAAAGTGAGACTCTGTCTCAAAAAAGGAAAAAATTCTCCAGCTTACTTTTTTCATTCCTCAATGTATTTATGAAAATATTTCCCCATATCAGCATATATAGATCTAATTCACTTTACTTAAAGTATATAAACTGCACGGATATTCCACAATTTATCCAAACAGTACCCTGTTCTTGAATGATTAGATTATTTGCTACAACAGTCGAAGGAACAGATTGTAAGTACTCACCCAAGTGTTTCTGTAAAACAACTTCCTAAAAGTAAAACTACTGGCTCGGCGCCTGTGGCTCAAGTCTGGACCCACCAAACAACAATGATGGCTGCAACCAAAAAATAGCCGGGTGTTGTGGCGGGCGCCTGTGGTCCCAGCTACTTGGGAGGTGGAGACAGGAGACTTGCTTGAGCCCAGGAGTTGGAGGTTGCTGTGAGCTGTGATGCCATAGCACTCTACTCAGGGGGGACAGCTTAAGGCTCTGTCTCAAAAAAATATATATACATAAAAGTAAAACTACTAGGTCAAAGGATACACACAATTTTGAGTTCGATAGATACTACTGTTGTCCTTTAAATAGGTTGTATCCAACCTTGCTTCCTCATCAGATTTGAGAATGGTCAAACATTGAAACTTTTGACTAATAAGCCAATATTAGTCAAATTAGACATGTTATTGATCAAATTAAGCATCTTTCATGTGATCTCTGTTAAACTAATTTGGCATGTGGCTGCCTTTATGTCTTGAGTCCCTGCACAAAGAACCACAACCTGACCAGATGGCTCACACCTATAGTTGCAGCACTTTGGGAGGTTGAGGCAGCAGAATTGCTTGAGGCCAGGAGTTCAAGACCAGCCTGGGCAACATAGCAAGAGTCCTGTCTCTACAAAAAATAAAGAAAATTAGCCAGATGTGGTTGCTTGTGCTTGCAGTCTTAGTTATTCAGGAGGCTGAGGTAGGAGGATCACTAGAGATTGCAGTGAGCTGTCACCCTGCCACTGCACTCAGCCTGGGAAGATAGAGTGAGAGATCCTGTCTCTACAAAAATAAAAACAACTAAAAGGATTACAACCTAGGCTTGGTGCCTGTAGCTTAAGCAGGTAAGGCGCCAGCCACATACACCAGAGCTGGTGGGTTCAAATCCAGCCCAGGCCTGTCAAACAATGACAACTACAACCAAAAAATAGCCGGGCATTGTGGTGGGTAGTCTGGCCTGTAGTCCCAGCTACTTGGGAAGGAGAGGCAAGAGAATCGCTTAAGCCCAGAAGTTGGAGGTTGCTGCTACCAAGGATGACACAGTGAGACTCTGTCTCTACAAAACAAACAAATAAACAAAAGTCCTCAAAGGGCTGTACTGAGCCTGAAAATGCTCAAAAGTAGTGTTATATTCTCTTACTTTAAAAAAAAAATTTCAGATTAACATAGGTACATATGATCAAGTTATGTCGTTTACTTTTGTAAGGCTAAAGTTTGGGTTGTAGTTGTGCTCTTCACCCAGGAAGTATGCAAAATAACCATGAAATTTAGGAATTTACCCAATTCCTCCCCACTTCCTTACTTGAATTTAATTGAGTTTTTCTCTCACTGAGCATGTAGTTGTTAACCTACTTCTTCTAATTAAATACTAAGTACACGAGGTGCTTTTTTCCCTATTCTTGTGATACTTTGCTTAGGAGAATGTTCTCCAAATCC